AATTTTTGGGATTTTTTTTGGAATTTTTGGGATTTTGGGCTAAGGAGGGGTATTTTGGTAATTTGGCAAATTTTGGTGATTTAGGGTAGTTTGAGTGTTTTCAAGGTGTTTAAAATGATTTTTGAACCAATTTGGGTATTTTGGGTAAATTTGGGAATTTTAGCCAAATTTAGGGGCAAAAGGCTAGGTTGGGTATCTTGGTAGAGTTGGAGTGCCAACCACCATCAATAAGCCATGGACCAATGGAAACCCCATTTTGGGTCCTCTATGTAGTGGTCTTAGCTAAACCCTAGCCTAGGGCTAGTGGGTTTAGGGGACCACCTACACGAGTCTCCCAAAAGTATCAAGGGACCAAAACTTAGAAGTTTAAGTTTAGGATTGTGAGTGATTGTGAGTGCAAGTATGTACCTTAAGCCTTAGACCAACACCTACGGTCAATCCTAAGGTCCAGCAGTCCTAAGGGTGACTCATCTTGAGTTCCCCCATAATGACCTTACCTACTAAGTGCTGGAGGTTAGGACCAATATGTGGAATTTCAAGTTGAGTAGAGAAGAGTTTGAAATTTATAATGGTGAGGGTTCATTTTCTAGTTTTCTAATAATAGTCAATAGGAAATATCCTATGGCTAGACCTTAGGCTACTAAAGTGAAAAAAACTAAACCTCAACCAAAAGTGATGTCAACATCCATATAGTTCAAAGATGAGATATAAAACAATACACATGTATATACATTCATCTGTTAACCCATTCTACTTTGCTAGGCGTAGTTGAATATAATAATAAAACATGATATAAATAAAACTTATCTAATTAAAATATATTGTTTATAATAACATAATATGACTATATATGATTCAAACATGAGATATGAATCATTACACTCATCTGAACACCTATTCTACTTTTCTAGGAGATGTTGAATAAAATTGCAAAACAAGACATAAATGAAGCTTATTACGTTATAATATATTATTTGCAAAACAAAACATGATTACATATTATCCAAGCATGAGATATGAATTAATAAACCCATATGTGCACCAATTTGTACACCCGTCTGTAAACACTTTTAACTTTCCATGAAGAGAGGAATAAAATAGTAATATATGGAATAGGTGAAGTTTGTCACAACAAAATATATTATTTACAACAACAAAACATGATTACATATAATTTACATATTAGATATGAAATAATAAACTTATCTATACACCTATTTGTATACCCATGTGTACACTCAGTCACCCTTGCCAAGAAGAGTTGAATAAAATAGTAGAATATGAAATAAAGGAAGCTCATCACATCAAAATATATTATTTATAATAATAAATCATGATTATATATGATTCAAATATGAGACATGAAACAATAAATCAATCTGTACACTCTTTTGTACACCCATCTGTACACTTATTCTACTTTGCAACGAAGTGATAGGTAAAGTAGTAATAAATGTCATAAATAAAGTTTAACACATCAAAATACATTATATACAATAACAAAACATGATTACTTATGGTTCAAACATGAAATACAAAACAATGTACTAATTTGTAAACCCATTCGTACACCTAATGTGATTTAAACGTAAGTAATCAAACAATACAAAATAGTTTTATAATTTCGATGGTAGCTAAACTCACGTCCATTTCATTGTTGTCAGACTTTCCATCTTTAAAATTGTTCTGCTCAATGCAGATTTATCGTAGTCGTGCTTCGTGAATCTTGCTTTCTTCATTATATCACATAAAATACTAAACGAAAATCTTAGAACATGAAGAGAAAATGTGGGCGGGGTTAAACTCTAGATTGTGAAAAGAAAATGAAGGCAATCATTAGAATATCTCACTTTCTCCATATTTCGGGTCACACACCCCCAAATATTAATTTTATTTTTTCGACTGAAATAAAGTTCTAATTGAACTACCATTAGGGCTGTCAAAACGGCTCGTTGTTCGCGAACAGCTCGTGTTCGGCTTGTTAATTTTGTTAGATAAGTTAAATAGCCGAACAGGAACAAAGATGTGTTCGTTCGTGTTTGGCTCGTTTTGGCTCGAAATACTACTCATCAAGTATATATATATATATATATATAAAGTAATATTTTTAAAAAATCTAATTGAGTACAAGGCTACAAAGATTTATAATCAATTAAAATATTGATTAAAAAAATAGAATAAAAATTATTAAATTAGATTCAAATGATGTTTTAATATAAATAATAATTTTTAAATATTGCTCAAATACTTATTGTCTTATGGTTACATGATTAATGTTGTTAAAATGACTTTTTGTTCGTGAACAGCTCGTGTTCGGCTCGTTGGACAAATGAGTCGAATACAAACACACATTTTGAGCTCGAAATATAAACGAGCCGACCAAGAGCCGGCTCGTTTACACCCATAACTCCCATTGTCCTGACGTTTTTGGAATCCAAACAATAACATGCTACCCAACTGTCTATGGTGTTACAACAAATAACAAAACAGGTAACGAGGGCGGCGCCTAGAACTAAAACCCGGTATCTTTGTTTCTCTATTTCTCTTCCTTTTTCCGATACGCCTGGTAGTGTTCGATTATGGAGGTCCTCAAGACGTGGATAGCTTCTTCGCAGCTTATTCTTTTGGCCTCCCGGTCGACTTTAGCTGTCGCGACTAGGGCCAGGGCAAGGGTCCGCTGCTGCTCCTCATCTTCCTTCTCCGCCGTTACAGATGAATGCGCGAGAAGCATTGCGGCGGACGGCAACCAGCGCTCGGATCGTCGCCGTAGGAGCTCATCCTCAACATCAGACAGAGAATCCATTCGTGAAATCCGTCTCCAGAAGGTAAGATCTCTCATTCCACCTCGAAGGTTTTATATTTGATTCATTGACATAACTGCTATATGCCATTTGTATGCGTGGTTGCTATCTATGGGAGTTAAGGTATGTGTAGTTCTAAGTGCATTATTAAATCCTACCCCTTTTATCCTGTTATCACTCAATAGAGGCAGTTGGAAAGTAGTGCAATCCTTATTAAAAATTGGTTTGGGCAGTGATTTCACCTCTGTTAAATGGAAATTTTACTCAAATCATCAAATTCAGGCATTATTTAAGCCTGTAATTAGTTTCCTTGCTTAAAGCTATTTGAATTGGCCAATAACTACTTTGTGATTGGTGCTCTGAAAAATGGGCTGCATGCATGTGCCCTTATCTAATCATTTTGTGGTTATTTAGACTGTATTAGTAAAATTTAAAATAAAAAGAAGTAAAAAATGAATCAGTCAACAATTTTCAAATCTGACTAATGCACCTAATTCATTTCATACATCCCAGAACATAAACAAATACAAAAGTAACTCTACGGATCACTTCATGTGCATTTTGTTGTATATGTGGATCTAAATAGGAAGTAAAGAGGGCAACATCTTCGTCACTACTCTTGCTGTAGTGTAATTGAGCTGCTTAGAACCATGCGGCTATGAATGGCTACCCACACAACTATCGATAAGAGTTTTTTATTCTTTAAAATTTTCTACTTATAAAGCTTGGGAAGTAAGACTCATCTAAGCTTTATGCTTAGTGCTACATTTATATTCAAGTATCATTGAGGCATTAAAGTTAATAACTGCTCTTTGATGCATTGCAATAGATCAACATTTTCGTCACTACTCTTGATCTAGCACAATAGAGCTCCGCACCTAGGCATGAAGGCCCGCTCAACTTTTTGATTAATAAGCATTTTATGTTCCATAAAAGCCTCTAGTATGGAGCTTCAGAAGTAATACACATTAAGTTTCATGCTTAGCACCACAATATATTCAAATGTTTTTGAAAGCATAAAATTTAATAAATTAATAATAATCGAATAAAGTAAATCTTGTTTAAGTGCTTAACACACGAAATATGTTGAATTAACAAGTAAATAAATTCCACAACAATGCATAGATCTACTAGTATTTAAACCCATAAGATGTTCATGTTAGAAGGATCACAATTACCACAACAAAGCAATTCTATTGCACAAGTTGTTATTACTCAACACCCAAAATTGTTCAACTTTAGGGATACTGACTATGATAGCAAAGAAATTCCAGCACAATTTCCAACTAACACATTCAATGGATAATACCTTCTGTGCTGAAGTTCTTATTGTAAAAGTTTCTAATATGCAACACATGATCATAAAAGGTTTGTACTAAGAAAACCCCAAGTGTTTTCAAAAGTAAGCTTACTATTTTTTCTTAGGATTTTAATTATCATTTGGTCAAGCCCATCATGGCATATAGGTAAAGGCACATTAATAAATTCTAACTACATTACTATGTTGATGTTTTCTATAAAGTATCTCCATTGACATTTCTGATTGACTTTTTTTGACATTGCTTTCAATCAAAACTTGCATGGATATCATCATTCAAAGATATTGTGCCTAGGGCTATAAATGAACCACTGCATTCGATGAACAACTTGAACTTAGCTCGATTTAAGCTCAAACATGTTTGTTTAAATTTGTCAATAAACAAATTTAAACTTTTTTTTAAAAGCTTGAATGTTAAATGAAATAAATATGAACATTGTTCAACTTGTTTATTTATGATCATGAATAAATTCGTTTGATGTTCAACAATTATCTTGTTAAATACTCCATATTAAGCTCGATGATAATTCCTATCATATATTTTATATTATTTAAATAAAATTTGATTAACTAGAACTTTTTTAGTTATAGTTTTAATAATAATAATATTATTATATCAATAATAATTTATGATTAATTGTTAATTATATATTTTTTATTCATATGTATTTATTAATCAACCTAATTTAAATAAATTAACTTAATTCATTTCATTTTTGCTTATATTTACAATATATTAATTAATTAATGTTGATTAGTATATAATAAATAAATTAATAATTAATTAAAAATTAATAAAATAATTAATTATAAAATAATTACACATTAATTTATATATTATAATTTGATTATAATATATTTATTGATTATTAATCAATGAAAATTTTCAAAATTTATAAATAACAATTTATTAAATTTTGAATCCTACTCTCCTGCTTGCAAAAATCACTTCTCCTTTCCCGTGTCACCCCAATCATCTCCTATCTTGTGCCTGAAACTCTCGTTGACGTCAATTGGGCCACTTTGGTTGATGTCTCCTTAAACTGTCTCATAAACTCAACTATCCAAGCAAAGCCCAAAATTTCAATCCTACTGAGAGAAGGGGAAGGAAAACCATTCGTAGTACTAGTAGCCCACGGTGCCAAACGCAAAGTAGATTTTGTTTTTTTTCTCTGTAAGGTACCAAATCAGCTTCGAATAGTTGACATCATTGCCATCATTAGTCATCACCTTCTTTCTACTGGAGAATAAAGCACCCAAAATTGTGAAACCTCGCAGTCTCACTCCCAATGAGTTGACATCTTTATCATCATTAGTCTTATCAACTTTAGTCTAATCTGTGTTATTCTATCTATATAAGTTATCATATTTATTTATGGACTCAGTTTTGTTGCCCAACTAGTACAGGTATCATAAAACATGCCATTGAGAACTTATCCCTCATATCATGACATTTTGTAAGCTCAATATTTTATTATTATTGAACATTTAAATAATGTGATTCAATTTAAAAAATGCTGAATAACAACATACAAATTTGCAGTTTATGAATAACGTGTTATTTATTAAAAATGCTTCTAATTATTAAAATATTTTATTATCATAGCATATTTAATTTGCAAATTTGAACTAAAAAAATTGTTATATAGTCACTTACTCATGAATATTAGGCTATAAATATGCTTTCCATCACAAGAAAAATTTCTAATGCATTACAATCTTTAATTTAATTTACACATAAATACACTTCCGAGTGATTTAAAAAATTTGACTTTATGTATTAGAATTTTTAAATTTTACCCACCTGACGATTTACTCATTCCAATTAGATATGTCAAAAAGTTTTTCTTTTGTAAACAATCTCATAAAGACTTCTCTTTGTATAAGACAATAAACCTACTAATGCAACAGAAACCAATTAGTTAGAAAAAGAAACAAAATAGAAAATTGGAGTTAAAATCTAACGTTTTTACCTTACTTTCTTCCTTATTTTTTTCCTCTTCTCATCATCTCCTCCTCCTCCTTCTCCTCCTCCTCTTCTTCTATTGCTTCCCCCTCCCAATATTTCCTCAAGGCCTGCTCCCATCCCATCCCTCTGTTATGTTGAAATGAAAGGGTAGATGAGGGAATTTTGGGATATGGACGGTGGTTAAAAGAAATTTAATGCATGTAATTATCTAAATTATATTATTAGTATTTCCTTAATTAAATCTCAACCATCAATTACATCAGCGGCTGCTGCATGCTGTCCAAAGTGGAATTAATTTGAATTTTTACTATAGATATATTGTTGTGCATGGTGAATAGTAAAATTTATTTGAAACTTAAAAAAAAAACCAATATGGTAACTAATTCCATAACTTCCTCCTCTTTGAGAATTAACATATAGTTATGTATATTAAAATAATCTTTTTGAAAAGTAGAATGCAATCGAATGATTTTTGATGCATTAAAAAAATATGAAATTTTGGTATAATTTATTTGGATATTTTTGCACTTGTATCTTATCAAAATAAGGTATTAAAGCCAAAGTCGTGTGATGTACCTAAGGAAACAAGCAGCATGATAATTAGATGGAGACACTCAAATGCAAAATAAGTCAACTTCACTTACCAGCTCAATAATCACCTTCCCACACTTCTTTTGGATACATGTTGGCTGAGAAGACTTACCAGTCATCATCATAGCCTTAGCCAACTCCTTTATATGGGCGATTGCTTCAATCATCTTCTTCTCTCTTTATGCACCTTTCGACTCTCATTTCTTTCTTATAGTAGCCAATATGGCTTCGTTGGAGAAATTGAACTCTCTTGTATTCATTCTTGGCAGTTGAAGTGCTTAATTGGCAGAAAAAAAATGAAGCACTGAAACTTCACAAAATAGTGATTGCGCTAGAAGGGAGAAGATTCATAAAGGAAGGAATTACACTAAATTGGACAAAATGAAAAAAAACGATTTTACACGATCTAATCTCACATTAATTTCTCCTTGAATTCTGTCATTTGCTTTTTCCATGCAGATAAAATGTCAAATATTGTATTGATCGAATCTGTAAGATGGATGGAACAATTTAGTTAGAACGAAGTAGAAGCAAACGTTACCAAGAAACACGAGCCAAGTATTGATCTTGCCTTAGCATTGTGGATTATTTTTCCCATTTTATTATTTTTTTCACAATTGCCTTTCAAAAATAACAGAGCATCAATGAACTTTCTATATTTTCTAAGGGAAAATTTACTTAAATTATAGGTAAGGACGATTGCTTGTTGAACTGGGCTTAGTATGGACTCACTAGACGGGTTTGAGGAGAATGGGGCTTACTAGGCGAGCTCGGAGCAGGCTTTCCAGCTCGGTTGAAGGAGACATTCTAGCCGAGTTCAAGCAGACTCACCAGCTAGATCCAATTGAACTTGTTGGCCGACTAATGGGGAGAATATCCACTTAGGCTTGCTAAGGACTCTCCAAATGGCCTTAATTAACTCGCCCGATCAACCTAGGTTGTCGATTGTTGTTAGGAGACCCAACAGTTACTTTAGGCTTAACAACTGAGTAGTAGTTTGAGTTTGTGTTTATACTTAGGCCATAAATCACTTTTATTTTTATTTTATTTTGTTGCATTCTTATAACATATACAGTTAATTTTATATCATTTCTTAAAGTGCTTGAGATCCCTATTTATGACCAGGGGACCAATGAGAGGTCTCTA